TTCCAGGGTCAAGCTGGAAAAATTAACAGTATTCCTCAACTCCATTTCTTTCTGCAGCCAAGCCTGATTCCTTGAATTATAGTTTTCTAAGAAAAAGTAGTTTTTAATAATCTAAGGTAAATTTGTTGCAGTTATTAGCAGCAGCATAATAAGGCTTTTCACCCAAAGACTGTTATTAGCTAGAGTTCTTCAAAAAAAGAATGTTTTTGAAGCATACTTTTTGCTAGGACTTCTGGAGAACTACTCATGAAAAATGCTTTTAGATAATATACATGTCAAAATATTTTTTTTTAAGTATAATTGGCCAGGTGCTGTGGCTCACACCTTTAATCCCAGCACTTTAGGGGACCAAGGCGAGAGGATCACATGAGCCTAGAAGTTTGAGGCTGCAGTGATTCATGATTGCACCACTGCCTTCCAGCAGCCTGGATGACAGAATGACTCTATCTCTTTACATATGTATATCTTACTCTCTTGATGGGACAAGTTGGTAGCAATAAAGATTTTTTTTTTCTGTTGTGATTTAGATCTCTAACCAATTTTCTGACTCATTGTGGAGCTGACCAGATGTGAAGGTGTATGTATGACCACTCCTCTGCCCCTTGGGTGGGTATGACTTAGTTGGAATCCAAGTAAAGATTTAAGCTAGTCTCTCCCCCTTAATATTAATGGGATTCAGGGCATACAACCCCAAAATATTGCACCCTGATATCTAAGAAAACTGCAGTAGCAAGGTTTCTCACACCTTCCCTTCTGAAGCAGGCCATAAAACCTAAGTGACCTTCCCCTAAAGTAGATCATAAATCCTTTATTCCAGAGATACCTTTTATCCTCACAGATACAGAGACACCAAGGAGAATCTGAACAAACAGGACTTGCTGAGTTCTCCACAGTTTATTATTGTTAGATTATATCCTTTTGTCCTCTGATTATACTTCTGCATGAGACTGTACATAAAAATACACAGGTTTTCCTGTTTCTTTGCATCTTCATTTCTGAAGATTCCTGTCACATAAAACTTAAATAAATTTGTGTGCTTTTCTCGTTAATCTGTCTTTTGTTATAGGTCCCTCAGTCGTGAACCTAGTGATGGGTGAAGAAAGAAAGCTATCCTACCCTTCAGTGCTCTAAGAAAAGCTATTCTCGAAAGAATTGGTTCATATTAGCTTTAGCTTGGGTTCTTAGAATTTCCCAAACTTGAGGTATTCATGGTATAATACAGGTGCCCTGACACTGTTGTTTTTCTGTCCATTCTGAAAATGGACTTCATGGAACTGATAGGCAGGGCCATCAGACTGAGGTGAAGAACTCCTAATTGCTCCCTAATCAGAGTTTCTGAGTCCTCATTTCAATAGTGTACAGTAACACCCATCATAGGTAGGACCTTGTATGGGTTACTAGATGGTGGCTTAATTGAAATTTTTAAAACACAGGTAACATCCTATTTTAAGAAGTTTAAAGGTCTAACAGGGTGTCTGTATTGGTTTAATATCTGTTAAAATTCAAAGGAGGATTCTGTTTTGGTGAAAGGTGGAGAAGGAAATTAGAAATTCATTTATCCACAGTCCCAAGACTGAGCTAAATCACTTTGGTGAGAGAGGAAGGGTTCCAGGAAATCCAACCCTGTGTCTTAAATATTTCATAGTATGTTTGCCTATGCAAAATATCTGATGCTGGAGTCAGCTGGGGCTGCTCTGTAGAGTAGCAAAGGGATTGGGCATCCAGTTACAACTAATCTTCACCTCCACTAAGGACTTAAATGGAGGGCTTTCAAACTCAAAAGTATGAGAACCCCTTGAAGTCCTTGCTTAAAATGCAGATTCCAGGATTTCCTCTCTTCCCTTTCTATATGTATAGGATAAAGCCAGGATTTTGTATTTTTAACAGACAAACCAGGTTATTCTCATGCAGATAAGTCAGGATCTAGCCTTTAAGAAAGACAAACTATGTCATCAAAAAGTAGAGAATATAGATTGTGAACTCTGTACTTTAGGAGTGCTGTTATAGCAGAATTCTTCAAAGCTCATCTTTGGCTGCCTAAACCTAATCACACCTTAATGAACTGAGCCACTTCTCCCCACTCAAAGCTACACATACTGAGTTAAACATGAGATGATTGTCATGTCTTCTGTTGGCAAAACAGGAAATATTTGTCTTTCGTGTACTGCTATCATTTTTATTACTGCCACTGTTTTCCCTCCAGGTTCTGTTTTTAATACAGACAGCTTTATTTCTAATCAGTGCCTTGCCATCTTACAACCCCCTCTCTAGTACCATGTTTTCTCAGCTGGATAACCATTAAGCTTTACCAAGGTCATCAATAACTAATGATGAAGAATGGAACCCCCAAACTCCAACCAAGATGTAAAACCTTGCTCAGTATCATCAAGTATATCAGGTAATCTCTCCGTTCCATCTTTTTCTCAGAGACATCTGTCCTGGAGTCCTCTGATGCCTAACTCCATTTTGTAGTGATTATTCTATAGGCCTGTCACCCCCTGCTTCACATTACCATGTAGCAATTCCAAGCTTTCTGGATATGTTTTCCACTTTCTTGGGATGGGTCAGTGGTCTGCAAATTGGAATGGGTACAGGCATCCCTTTTAAGAGGTATATAAGCACAGATAGTTTTAAGGGAATCATTTTCCAGATCACCAATTGCCCTGTATAAATCTTCGTTTAAATTGATGTGTTTGTGAAGGCAGCTCAGTGCTAGCTCTTATTTCTCACCTCTGTTTTCATAGTCACCCTTTCCCACTAAGGAAGAGCAGCATCTCACTAGTGGTATAATAGCACTCTAGTATATCACCCCAGGATGTAAATGTCTTCAGGATGCCAACAAAAGGTCAATTCTAAATATTTGTTTTATTTAAGAACTTCATTGTTCCATTCCCTATGATGATTATTTGTTTAATACAGTGTTTCTGAAAACAAAGCAAAGAGAGCTTTAGTAAAAATTACACAAGTTTGTGGCATCTTTTATGGCAGAACTTCTGTCTGGTCTGTCAAAATAACCAAAAAGCATTTTATCAAAAAATTATATGGCAAAAATATATAAAATTATTTTTATTTCCTAGTTCTTTCTGAGTAAATGAGACAAAGCATCTTTGATATGTTTTGGCTGTATCCCCACCCAACTCTTATATTGAATTGTAGTTCCCACTATCCCCACGTGTTGTGGGAGGGATCTGGTGGAGATAATGGAATCATGGGGGTAGTTGCTCCCATCCTGTTCTCTTGATAGTGAGTCCTCACAAGATCTGATGGTTTTATGAGGGATTCCCCCTTCACTGAGCACTCATTCTGTCTCCTGCCACCTGAAGAAGGACATGTTTGCTTCCCCTCCAGCCTGCCATGAGTGTAAGTTTCCGGAGGCCTTCCCAGCCATGCAGAACTGTGAGTCAAACCTCTTTTCTTTATAAATTACCCAGTCTCGGGTATTTCTTCATAGCAGCATGAGAGGGAACTAATACAACCTCTAAGTGAAAGCATAATATTTAATTAAAATGAATGATTCTAGTAGCTGAGTAATGAAGCCTTTTCTTCAGGTTTCCAATTATTTGCTTTCAAAGCAAATAAAGAAAGAAGAACCTAACTGAGTTGTTGATGGATGGATGATTTTTTTTAAATAATCTTTAAACGTTTTGTATAAAATGTTTTAATCTATGATAAAATATTGATAGATCACTGTGATTTTTGAGATTTAATTCCAAAGAAGTGAGATTATAACAAAATTCCTTCCATTTATATCTACTAATTTATGTAGATATACATAAGACCTCCAGTCTCCTATCTGGAGGAAACACTTGCTGATAACATTCTAGAAATGTAGTGGGAGAAGGAGGCTGGAGGTTTCATCACTGCCGATTATTCTTAGTTTTGGTCCTACCCACCCCTCCACTTGCTAGTGTCTTTTCTTCTGGAGCAGAGAATAAACCTCCTATCTTGCACTAGAATCTGGGAGGGGCAGACACCTAACGTTTCATATTTCTGCTGCTTTTCACGTTCTCTGCCTCACACATTCCCCATATTGGTTCGTTGAATCCATCCTCCTCTGCCTGGTTTTTTATCAACTTTTGTTTTTTGTCTCTTACAGCTTTGATATTGTGACCTTTCTCTGCTCTTGTATGTATTTGACTTACCTATACACACAACCTACTCCTTCCACTGTGTGTCTTTGAATGCTGATCACCCTGTCCAGAAGATACCTTCTATTTCTCCTGCTTCCCTAGAAGCTTTCCCTGACTGGATCCCTCCACTCCAATTTCAGTTGCATTGCCCTAAACACAGTTTATTGCATAAACTGCACTTCTGTTTTTCTCTTTGCACACCTTGTTCTCTCTGCTTACTGCCCTTTCTGTCCAACTCTTACTTTATGTGACTTGGCTCAGACATTGTCTCCTCTGGGAAGCCCTCCTTGGCTCTGCTCATCCAGGCTTTGTGCCCCCTAGAACCCTGGGCTGTTCTCTGTCAGAGCACTTATACTGTATTGTGATGGTTTTCAAAAACTGTTAAATAAATGAATGTATAATTACGTTAATTCAAATGGAAAGCCATTAGACATAGAACCAGAGCTATTTGTAGCTGTGTGTTATTTATTCTCATATCCCAGCAGGACATGATGGCTCATGCCTTAATTCCAATACTTTGAGAGGCTGAGGCCGGAGGATGGCTTATGCAAGACTCTGACCCTAAAAAATAACATTAAGTCAGGTGCTGTGGCTCATGTCTGTAATCCCAGCAGTGTGGGAGGCCAAGTTGGGAGAATTGCTTGAGCCTAGGAGTTCAAGATCAGCCTGGGCAACATGGCAAGACCTCATCTCTACTAAAAGTATTTTAAAGTAGCTGGGTGTGGTGGTGTGTGCCTATAGTCCCAGCTACTCAGGAGGCCGAGGTGGGAGGATCGCTTGAGCCCAGGAGGTTGAGGCTTCAGTGAGCCGTTTTTGTGCCACTGCACTCCAGCCTGGGTGACAGAGCAAGAATCTGTCTCAAAAAATAAATAAATAATACGTTAATATCCCATGTGTATATTCTTTCCTTTTAGAAGGAATAGATGTATTCCATTTTAAATATTTTCAGGCCCCTCAAAGTAATTTTCATTCAGTCAAGGAACTGTTAACACTTTCTTACCCCTTTAGAAGTCCCACACCTTAGGAAAGAATCAAAACACCTCTTAAATCTACCTTCAAAGCTGGTTCAATGGAAATAACATAGAAAGTTTGTTGAAAAATAAGACAGTAAAGATTTTCCTTTGTCTTTTATTAGCTCCCATTTATTTCTTTATCTAACCACCAACTGCTAACTTCCAGGATCTATAAAGATTGAAGACCCAGGGTACTCATAAACTCAGATACACAAGAGATCTTGTCCTCGAATTCACTTTCTGAGTGTGCTTGTTATAGGAATAGTGAAAACTTAACCTCAATAAAGCTGGGGTCTCCACCTACCTTCCTCCCAGGTTAGCATATGAATTCCAGAGTAGTTTACATTATACCACAATGTTATCTGTCTGTGCTGATATACGCTGAGATTTCCTATCAGTCCTCAGGCGTCAGTCCACAAGGTTGGCTACCAGTCTGTCACTTGTTTCCTGTCAACATGTCCCCTTTTGTCTGGCCCACTCTGTGCTAGCACCTCATATGCAGGCAGTCATTCTTCTGCTACTGCAGTATGCTGGAGCCTAGGGACCCCTGGAGGTTGTTTAAACCCATTTATCTAAAGCAGAGGATCTAAAACTGGCAGCCTGTAGCCACTTCAAATCTGCACATGTTTTTCAACCTGCATGATTAAATCAGTTGTTTATCACTGCTTAACAAACCATCCCAAATTTTAGTAGTGTAAAATATACCATTCTATTTGTTCCCAATTCTGTGGCTCAGCAGTTTGGCCCAGATTTAACTGGTGGTTCTTCTGCTGGTCTTGCCTGGGATCACACATGTGACTGCAGTCACCTGGCAGCCAGACTGCCTCATTCACATGTCTGGCAGTCACTGTGGGGCTTGCAAGGCTGTTGCCTTGATCTCTGGAGGCCAGCCCAGCTACTTTGTACAGTATCTCTGGCTGTAAGAATTGGACCTGTCTTAAGGCACAAGCACTTTTCAAACTCTGTGTCATGTTTGCTATTGGCCAAAGAAAAAGACCCTACCTCTTGATGGGAGGAACAGCAAAGTCACATTCAAAGGGGCACATATACAAGGGTAGGAGGAATTTGGGCATTTTTTGCCATCTATCATAGAGTTGTCTCTCTCTCTCTCTCTCTCTCTCTCTCTCTCTCTCTGTCATTCTAATTGCCAATGTTTAAAAATTGGAGCTTCATCTTGAAAAATCAGCTAGCCTATTTTAATCATTTATACTTCTTCCCTTGTCTGTTGGCATTTGAGTTGTGATAATGCCTAGTTTACGAGATTGTTTTTGTGAAGTTAGATATGGAAAAATCTGACAAAAGCAGGCACTCAGTATGTTTTCCCCTTTCCCCTTTACCTGCAAATGACCAAGGAGAGCAGCCAAGATGAAGAACAAGGTAGTCATAGAGGAGGTGGCTGGAGAGTAATCCCTTAGTCTGTTTTAGAAGTATAAAAGCATTAGGAAACAAAACTCTTAAAGAGTTTGTAAGAAAACTAAATGTACTTTAAGAAATTAAAAAGAGCAACAGGAAACATCTCAGTTTGCTCTAAGTGAAATGCTTCAGGCCCTGCCAGTAGATGACTGGATTACAACCAGGTTATGTTTGAATGCAAAGTCCAGGCTCAAAAAGGGGTCTTAATGGCTCCTACTAAACTGGTATCTTAAGGCAAGGAAAGAGAATATGTCCCTAATGTCTAAAACTATGCCTAATACTTACCCAAGAACCTGAGCTTATTCCTGGGAGGCACCTGCAGAGAACTGAATGGTTCTCGTCCGGGTGCTTGTCGTCAGGTGGCTGTGTGTAAACATCTTACCCCAGTGTAAACATCTGGAGCTGGTAAACGTCTAGGGGTTTTTCTTACTGCCCTCCAGACTCAGCACTGCCTGTTCCTTTCTAGCCTGAGTCAGAACTCAGCAGAGAACTCTCCAACACACAGAGCAGGCACTATCTGCCAGTTCCTTTCCCTGATAGCTTCAAATTCTCTGCCTTTTGAAATAAGCCTCCTTTTAACTTGAACAAATAATTGGTCAGTATCTGCCTCAGGTGAAGAGGAGCCCGGCCTTTGCAAACACATAGGAACAAACTATTTAAAAACCAAAGCATTTGTGTAAGCAGTTAAGAAATAAGCTTGTTGGACTTTGTCCCTATATATGAGTTAGGCAATTCTCCCAGGTGATTTGAGTGACCCGCTGACAGTGAAGCACAGTGAAGCAGTTTAAACCAGAATATCCAAGAGTGGTTAGAAGAGAGAGCAGCATTCTGGCTTTATATCCTCTGGACCTGCGTTTCCTGAAATCATCACACAGAGAACAGAGAGAAAATGGCCGAATTAAAGGTAAGAAACTGTCTGGCAAGTTTCCTGCGGCTTCTTCAGCCAAAATTTATAGAAGTTAAAGGTTCTTAAGAGATCATCTGGCAAATTTGCTGTGGCTTCTTCGGCCAAAATTTATGGAAGCTTCTGAGAACTCCAGGGTATCAGAGTTGAAAAGAACTTGGAGAAGCCCTGGTTCAAATCCCTGTGTTCAGAGGCTTCACTGTGGTGTCTGTGGGCACAACTGGGGCTGGGGAACAAGGGAAAGGTGATAAAGGAAAGAAATGAGCCAGGCGCGGTGGCTAAAGCCTGTAATCCCAGCACTTTGGGAGGCCAAGGCGGTTGGATCACGCGGTCAAGAGATCAAGACCATCCTGGTCAACATGGTGAAGCCCCGTCTCTACTAAAAATACAAAAATTAGCTGGGCATGGTGGCGCGTGCCTGTAATCCCAGCTACTCAGGAGGCTGAGGCAGGAGAATTGCCCGAACCCAGGAGGCGGAGGTTGCGGTGAGCTGAGATCACGCCATTGCACTCCAGCCTGGGTAACAAGAGCGAAACTCCATCTCAAAAAAAAGAAATTAAGATCTTATTGGTCATTTTTTGTCTTTATTTCAATCATTGTCTTGGAAACCTGTAGACATCCTAAGAGCTCCCCTCCACTACAGACATGCATGTTTCTCACTATGTCTCTTTCCCACCCCCTGCTCTGACACATTCCCATTGCTGCAGCTTCTTGGACCACTTCTGGCAACCAATTAGGTATGCTTAATCCATTCAGTTAATTGAGGCTCTGAATCAGCCGTTGGCCAGTAGAAGCCCTAGCACGTCCTCTAGTAAATCATTCCTTCTTTTTAGTAATACACAATTGAAAACTATATGTGGGTTGTGTGCTGTTAGACGCTAGGCATTTTAACTATGAATTAACTCATAATCTTTAAAATAAATCAGGGGTACAGAGAGAGGTTCTTGTTTCTATTAATCAATTAGAAAAGTAAAGCTTGGAGAGACTATGATTTGCCCAAGGTCACTGCCAATAGATGACTGGATTGCAACCAGGTTATGTTTGAATGCAAAGTCCAGGCTCAAAAAGGGGTCTTAATGGCCCCTACTAAACTGGGATCTTAAGGCATGGAAAGAGAATATGTCCCTAATGTCCAAAACCATGCCTAGTGCCCAGCACAGTCTTGCATCAATGCCCAACACATGCCTGTGTGACTGAATAGCACTGCCCAGAACCTTGGCTCAGGACAGGTTGGCCAGACCTCCCCACACCAGACTTCTTCCCAGAATGCAGGGTTTGAGAAGTGTCCTAATGCACCTTAACTGATGCTGAGTTTGAAGAATCCATCAGTTAAAGGGAGATGTTTCTGAGTTTGAATAGTCAAACACTTTCCTAATTGATAGGAATCCTGAAAACACTCAATGCTGGAATGAACTTTGGTTTTTTATCTTTATGCCTGACTGATAGTTAACTCTCGTTCTTTAATTCAACAAATATTTTGTGCTAGTGCATGATACTACAGATTAATGTAGTAGAGGAACTGAGTCTGGGATAGGTAAAGTCGAAGGAAACTTCCTAAAGGACCCTGTACCTAAACTGAATCTTAAGAGAGAAGTTGGAACCGGCCGGGTGAAGAAGGATAGGGTCTGAAGGGAAGAGTGAGTGCAAAGGCACAGCACATACAGAATGCCTGCATGTTCTAGAATCCAAAACTGTGTCAGCGAAATTTGAGTTGTTGGAGAACGACAGCCAAATTGAGATACCCAGGTGGTGGTTGGATATATGGATCTGGATTTCAGGGGAGTGGGCAGGGCTAGGGGAATAGATCTGAGTGTCATGATGTCAATGGTAGGAGTTGAAGTCTTGGAAGAAAGAGTAGATAGAAACTTTGTTTTCTGATGAACATTCTATGAGGAAGTTCAGTGGGGGTTGGAAACATCTTTACCATTTATAAATAAATTATATCTAAAATCCTATCCTGCTGTAATGTTTAAGCAACTTATTATGCACATCACCAGGACATCAGTGTAAATTGCATGCAAGTCTTTGCTCTCAGTTTCAAAGACGTTCTTCCCAGCCTGCTGTCTAATCTTTTACAAGGAAAGGTTAACTCCAGAGGTCAGGAATCTGAGCACAGAAAACCAGATTGCATCATACTCATTCTAATAATAAACATTATATAATTTTTAAAACTGTTTCTCATTTTTTATTTCTTCATTTTAATGAATATGTCAACACAAAGCCATAAATGAAATCACATTTACACAAAAGTAAAGCTGGGGGAAGAAAATTCAAAAGATAAAATAATAAAATTAAATTTAAAACATAATACCCTATGTTTTTGAGTACGTTGCTTCGCTTCTCCCAACTTTGGTTTCCTCATTTCTAAAATGAAGAGCTTGCTTAACTTACAGGCTTTGGCCCCACCACCAGATCCTTGATTCACTGGCTCTGGGTCTGTATATAACAAGCTTCTGGAGTGATTCTAATGATTAGCCAGAGATAGGACCTACTATTCTACATAACTGATTTCCTGTTACTGCTATAAAAAATTACCCCAAATTTATTGGCTTAAAACAACACAAAAGGTGTGGCCGACACCGTAACTTTAGACTAGTGAAACCAATTTCAAATACATATATACTAACTCTTGTTCCAAACGCGTAATCCTGAACTCTCTTCTGAGGCCAGCAGTTACAAAGAATGGGGAAGGTTAATGAATAAATCCAGTGGTGCCTGCTGGAAAGCTCAGCTGTACTCCAGCCTGCCTTCCTGTCTTGCAGAGAGGAACAATTTCTTCTGGAGACTCTATGAGAAATTGTGTTTCCCTGCCATTTCCATAGATTCTGTTTCTTCTTGTAGAGGCTACTCACATTCCTTGGTTTGTAGCCTCTTCTATCTTCAAAAAGTGTATCTCTGCTTCTGTAATCGCATCACCTTTTCCCCTCTTAGAAGTCAAACCTCCCTTTGTCTCCCTTTTATAATGATACTTGTGATTACATTTAGGATACACCCAAATAATTAGGATATCTCCCCATTCCAAGATTCTTTATCACATCTGCAAAAGTCTGTTTGGCTAGAAAAGGTAATACAGGTTTCAGGGATTAAGCCATACATATCTTTCAGAGCCATTATTCAGCCTACTGCAATAATATGCAAGTTCCCTTCACAATCTATATTCTACGTTCCCATCAAGGTTAACTAGAAATATTAGACTCCTTTTCTACAAACACACATACATATACAAATGTAGCAGTAGCTCTACCCTGACTTCTCTTTCCTTCATGCCCAGAAAGAGGAAGTGAGGTGTACCATCTGTTCATCTCATCAGGTGTTACCTAGAATCAGAGTGAGGAGAAAGCACCTCATAAAACTACTCTGACAAGTAAATCATATCCTGGGGACCAGGTGAGAATTAAAAAGCTGTATACTCGTAAGCTGCCAAAGAACTGATGGTACTGAAGTCACATGGAGCTCAGGAATTTATTCATGCATTTGGAAAGTATGCATATAATTCTGGAAAAAAAAAAATTTCTGTCGGATCAAATTATTCAGAAATCCAAACTGTAGAAAACATGCTTAATGTTAGCTTTTTGATTTTATTTTTGTACACAATATACTTTTGCACAGGCACTGAACCAGCTGGAAATGAATGCTTGGATTTTCGCAGCTGATAAAAGCAGAGTTCAGATTCTGTCCTTGAGCTCAATGTCTGAAGAAAGCAGATGCAATTACTACTTCCTTAATTCAGATGCCTTCGGCAGTGAGGGACATGCCATTTTAAAGCTGTAATAAACTCATCTGTAATTTTTCTGTCAGGGGAATTAGAAAAACCAATTGATTTTGTTAGTGACTCAGCAGTTTTCACCTTCCTCCTTAGCCAATGCACTGCAGCTAAGATTGAGAAACAGATTCAGAACTTGCACCTCGCAGTGCTTGGTGGCTTCCTTCCAAACCACCAGCTGTTCTTCCTACTTTCTTTTCTATTTTTTAAAGCACAGTCTGAATCAAATACTTCAGAAACATATATACCAACTCTTGTTCCAAATGCATAACCCTGAACTCTACTGAGGCCAGCAGTTACAAAGAATGGGGAAGGTTATTGTGTAAATCCACGGGTACCTGCCAGAAAGTTCAGCTGTACTCCAGGCTTCCTTCCTCTCTTGCAGAGAGAAATAACGTGGCAGTTGAACAAAGTGAAGGCACTGTGGCTTCCATCACAGGCTGGTCTCAAATTCCATTTCACAGAATTGAAGATAATTTGGGGTTATTACCAGTTCTCAGCAGCTCAAATTCAATCCCATTGATGGTGAGCTTGGGGTTCATTTTAGAAGGAGAAAATTAGATGCAGCAGAGAATCAGAATGCTGGATGGTCTCTGCCATTTCCCCAAAGATATCATCCTAACTGCATGCTGCTGCTTTTAACAAATCAGTATATACCTTAGTATTTTTTCATGATGACAAATTTTCAAATAACAAAATATTGTATCTGAAGGCAAAAAATAATTTCACTTCCATTGCTTTCTAGGTTATAACTTTCACGTCTGATATTTCTTCCAAATATAGACCATTGTTGACCTAATCATCACACACATCCAGGCGTGTTATATCTCCATGCTGCGGACAACTCCGGAGGGCCTACCCTTCACCCACTTCCATCCTTCTTATATCTTTTAAGGAGATGTGTTCAGATGGTGGCATTTTATTTGCTGAGCAAGACTGCACTTTCATTATTCTGGGCTAAAATCAATTGGTATTTAAGTTAGAGCAAAGAGAGTTCTAACCCTATTTACAGCAGAACACATACACTTACACTAGAATTGGCTTTAAGTGAAAAAATCAATCAACAGATTTCCGCTGAGTACCTTCTATAAACCAAGACTGCCATAGTCCTAGCCTTCGTGCAGCTTATAGGCTAACGAAAGAGCCAGACAGTGCACAAGAACTCGCAAGTGAGTTGAGTGTTGCAAGAGTAAGTTTCAGGGGCTCTCCATGACTTACCTTGTTAAGAAACCCTTAACTTTTTTTTCCCTCTGGGTGTAAAGTGAAGAGATGGCAATCCGAGTAGGTTCCATTGTGTCATTGTGAAACGATTCTGCGCTGGCATATCTCCTAAAGGCCACCCATATCTTTAAACTTTATTTTCATGCATTCATACAAATATAGATGTGTTCCATAGATGAGGCAGATAGCAGAGGCTTCTGCCTACAGCCAGACTAGTTTGGAGAGGGTTTTGCTGATGGGATTGGATCCACACATCTCTTCCTAGATGTATTTTTTTTTTTTTCTTTTTCCAGAATTTGAAGGGAAAATGGAGTCTCAAGTTTAGGGAGGTTCAGTGTAGATGCATAAATCGGCTAAGTATAGCTAAGGGTGGAGAAGCACTCTTCTGATTAATTGGAATATCCAGCACTCTTCCGATTAATTAGAAGTCTAATATTTACAGAAAGCATATTCTCTTTCCTGAGTCATACGTCAAGACACAGTAAAGATATATGTGGAACATCATATACACACGTATGTCCAAATAGAAATTCTTACCTTTGTAGACTACCAGTGTTCTTTAAATCCTACTAATGGTGGCATTTGTGTCTTTGTCACATACAGTACCTTTCTGGATTTGGGAATGAGTGTACTTCAGAGGACCCTCGCTGCCCAGGTTCCTTGCCAGAAGGACAGGTATGAGCAAATAAAGTGCTTAGAAGAGCTCTGAATCCTATTCCTGGATGACTAGCTTTCACGCCAAAGTGCCTCCACCCACTGTGGCTCTTCTAATCTCGCCTGTGAACTGTCTAGGGGTTTCCCAAGTCATAGGGGCAATGTAGATACAGCGCAATGACAATACAAAGATTAAAATTGGATTGGTGGCACAGCAGCCAACCCAAACTAGTTGGGATTGGATCCACACATCTCTGTGGGTAACTGTAGGGTTTCCAGTAGGATCCCCAAAATCTAGGGTTAAAGGGAATTCCTCATATTCCCCCTTGAACCATAAGATGTGACAATTACGAGAAAATAACAAGGTGCTTTAAGATCGAGATCATCCTGGTCAACATGGTGAAACCCCGTCTCTACTAAAAATACAAAAATTAGCTGGGCCTGGTGGTGCACGCCGGTAGTCCCAGCTACTTGGGAGGCTGAGGCAGGAGAACTGCTTGAACCCAGGAGGCGGAGGTTGCGGTGAGCTGAGATGGTGCCATTGCACTCTAGCCTGGGTAACGAGCAAAACTCCGTCTCAAAAAAAAAAAAAAAAAAAAAAATGTATGTACAAAGATGTTCATACTAGTGCTGGCTAGAATGGCAACAACACAGCAAACAAAAACATTTTTAAAACTTTTGAAGGCTGTATCATGGCCTAAAAGTCCTCATGATATAATGTTTTCTTTAAAAGAAAAAGAAAAAATGCCTGATTATTACAGGATTACAGGTATCATAGGGTCACAATTTTGGAAGATAAGAATGCAAGAAAAATGGACATATTAACACTGGGTTATTTCTGGTTGTGAGATAATAGGTGATATACTTTATAAATTTTCTGTGATAAGTATATATTACTTTTATAATCAAGGGGGCAAGTCACATGAAAAGTTGTTACAAGAAACATATTGGGTTGGAGATGGTCGTGTGTAGTGGCCCAGAACATCCCCATTCCCCTACGGAGTTGGTTGGTTGGAAGGTGTGATGTTTTTCAGATGGGAGTAATATTGTTTATTGTATCCTTTGTTTCAGAATAATCCTCAGGTCTGCCCCTACAATCTATATGCTGAACAGCTCTCGGGATCGGCTTTCACTTGTCCACGGAGCACCAATAAGAGAAGGTACAAAGATTAGATGAATTCTGACCTGCAGACTGTGGGAACTATGACAGGGACTTTGGGCTGCCTCCTTCCCCTGGGCCACAGCCTTCTAGAGCTGCTCAAGATTCTGCTTCTTATAGGCTTTGGTCGAGGTCCTAGTCAGGATAGAATAGACTTCCTGCTAGCTAGCACCAAGTGACTGGTGGAAGAAGGTGAAGGAAAGCTGTGCAGAGCCTGGAAAATACACATGTCCAGTTCCATTTACAAATTATCTCCTATACTCAGAATGAAATATTCCTAATAGTTTGACCTTCTTCTAAAGACTGTCCTGTTGAGTTTTGGTTTGTGGTTTTCCTTTGTTTTATAATGACTGAGTCATAACTCTGGAAGATTCAGAGCAATATCTTTCTCAGCTAACTAGAGGTATGTTCTTTGCAAGAAAATGTTGGGTAATCCAAGCTTGGATAGTTGAAAAGTCATGTATTATGGCCCATTGTGGTTTGAATTAATAAGGTTTTACTCTAGAATTTGCCCTTGCTAGAAACCAGCATATTCATTAACATAGTATGCCGTGTTCCATGTTTGCTGTAATCCTACATCCGGGTCAACGAACATGATCCCTTGATTAACTCATCTCAGGCAGGTTGGTTGCAGTATGTGTTGTAGTTTTAAGAGGCAGTAAGTGTTTTGATTTAAATAAATAGTATTTAATTATAGAAAGTTTAGGCTAAGGCATGCTGCTGATAGAGATTTGGGGAGAAGGGCATGTGGTCTTGTACTGCTTAGCAGGGTGGCGTGAGTTTATCACCACAGGTCCTTCTGAGAAGCAAATGAGATAGTAAGTACAAAACTGTAGTGGACCACACAAATGATAAAGATTGCACAGGTAATCATGGCCACCCTGGAGGCAGGCCCCGTGAGTATAAATCCTGGCTCCTCTTTTTAAAATCTTGGGCAAATCATCTGCCTTTTTGGATCCTCTAGTTCTTCATTCATACAACAAAGATAATAATAGTACCTATTTCACAGCTGTGGTGAGGATTGAAAGAAAGGATGTGTATAAAGGATGTGTGTAAAGTGCACATTGCAAGGCACATGGTTAGTGCTCAGTTAATGCTAGTTATTCTCATAATAATTATCATTAAGTATTGCCATCATGGGAGAGTTTCTGCCTCATTTCCAGGGTTATCTTGAGGAGGCTGTCAAGAGAACTGCGCATGATATATGGCAGGTGCTATGTTACAATGTCAGTATAACAGTGCTTTTCTCTCAATAGATATGTGCGTGGAAAGAGGGAGAAATAGAGAAAGTTTTCTAAACATGTCAAAAATAAGGATAATCCCATTGCTATATAATCTCTCTCCCCCACCCTTCTCTTCTCTTCTCTTCTCTCCTCTCTCTCTCTCTCTCTCTCTGTCTCTCTCTCTCTCTCACACACACATCCCAAATAGATGGGGTAAGGTAAGCACACAGACAATTCTGTCCATTCTAATTTGTGACAACCTGGACTCTATGACTGTGTTCTTGACTTTATGGCCCACTCCCTAACGGGCCACCTGGTCTCCGGATTCTGCTGCCTGTCCCCATTATTCAGCAATATCTTCAGCCAGCAGGAGCTGAGCTCTGTTCCAGGAGGCTGAAAAGGAGCTGTTGGCATTTCATTAAGAAGCTGGCACTGTTCCCTGAATCAGAATTAAATCTCTGTTCAGGGTAATGTAGTGCTGCCTGGGGAGTGTTATAAACTCAGCTAAAAAATAAGGGATACTAGGTATGGCTCACCCATCTATTTAGAAAAACGCTTCAAAGATACCCACAAAAATTTTGTGGAAATGCTTCCCACTCAAAATCTCCAGTGGGAAGATGGGACCAGTCCTATCCATAAGTAGGCCAGCCTGAAATTCCTAGTTACTACTCATTTGAACCACAGCATGCAGGGCTACCACAAAACTATTATAGAGTCTACCCATCCACCTACCTACCTAACTACCTGCCTGCTTGCCTACCTAGGATTAATTTTTATCAGATTAGCTAGCTGATTGATCCCTTGAGTCTTGAAAAGGCAAGAGTCAGAGAATGTGGAAAATCTGGACTGTGATAAAATTCGGACAATTAAGAGAAGAAAGGCAATTAAGCATCTAATAAGCGAGCATCTATTGTATGCCAGGTGTTTTCGGTTTACAAACTCTTTGAGTTCTCACAACAATCTTAGAAGACAAGGTTGAAGAATATAAAGTCCAGGAAGTTTAGTAACTCTCCCAGGATCACACAGCTGGTTTCAAGACATACACATATGCTCTGAACTTCATATATTGGGAGCTGAAGAGGCTTAGTAAGACCAAGGCCTGAGGTCATGTCATCAAGAAATGGAGAAATTAAATGGAAACTAAACAGATCTAGCCCTTTTTCCCCCAGATGGCTCAGCATTGGGCCAGGCCAAGTCAACCCACTGAGATAGACTGTCCTTGGGCTCAAAAGGGCCAAAGCCTGTTGATTCAGGTCTGGTCTTCCATTGTCCATCTGTATTTTGTCAGGGTAGTAGCCTCTGAAAGGACTTAGGTCCTGCTTAGTGAGTTTCAATGTCCCTTCCAACTTCTAGAAGGTTCTCATCCTGGTGTCCTTTAGAATTCCTTTATCAGAGTCTTCTTCCCTTCTTGAAGCCTGAGATCTGGTCCTGGTAGAGAGGACATGCTTTAAAAAGAAAATAAAGAAAAACAAATAGAGCCATAAATGTACCACAGTAAAACATGAACACACACTCTTCTAAATTTGGAGTACAGAAGTGTTAATTTATTTTTACGTTCCAGGGTATATGTGCAGGTTTGTTACATAGGTAAACATGGCCATGGTGGTTTGCTGCCTCTATCAACCCATCACCTAAGTATTAAGTCCAGCATACATTAGTCATTTTTTCCTGATGCTCTCCTTCCCCCAACTCCCACCCCCCAGCAGGCCCCAGTGTGTGTTATTGCCCTCCCTGTGTCCATGTGTTCATTGTTCATCTCCCACTTATGAGTGAGAACATGTGGTATTTGGTTTTCTGTTCCTGCTTATGCCTTCTAGTTCCATCCATGTCCCTGCAAAGGACATGATCTCATTTTTTATGGCTGCATAGTATTCCATGGTATATATGTACCACATTTTTTTTTATCCAGTGTATCATTGATGGGCATTTGGCTTGATTCCATGTCTTAGCTATTGTGAATAATGCTGCAATAAACATGTGTGCATATATCTTCATTTAGAATGATTTATGTTCCTTTGGGTATATACCTAGTAATGGGATTGCTGGATCAAATGCTATTTCTCATTGTAAGTCTTTGAGGAATCGCCACGCTGCCTTCTATAATCGTTGAACTAATTTACATTCCCACCAACAGTGTAAAAGCATTCCTATCTCTCCACAGCCTCTCCAGCATCTTTTTTCTCTTACAAATTAATATCAAAAAGACAAATAAACTCAATAGAAAATGATAAGGGATTTTTACAAGTAATTCATAGAAAAACTACAAGAGCCAATAAACAAATGAATAAACTGATTTTTTGGGGGAAATATTTTGTATTTCCTAACTCATAATAAAGAAAATACAAAATAAAATGAGATACTATTTTTCCACCTAAAACACTAAAATTATTAATAATATTCCAGATTTATGAAGATGTGTTTGACCAGGCACTCTCACATATTATTATTATTATGGTAATAAAGTGTTAAAATGATCTGGCAATTTTGCTTAGAAATGTATTGGATATATCTGAAAGAATATATATATTTTAAAAAAATCATTAAGCTCTGATGCTTCTGAGGAATAGCCCTGAGGAAATTGGAGGAAAAGGAGCCCTTTACATTTCCAGACTTTTTAAATTACTTGAATTATTTTTACCATTGGCATGTGTTACTTTCATAATTTTAAAGGAGAAAATTGATTTATTATTTTAAAAATAACAAAGATACCATCCATATTCTCTCAAGTGGCATAGAACTCATTGTTTTTGCCTATCAGAGCAAGGATTAGTATCCTATGATATCCATAAGCTAATGTTTTTCTACGGATTTTCCTACACAGATATCCCTCAAGGTATACCCCCTTCCTTTATAGTTGTTAGAAAAGACAATTCTTCGTTTTTTGGCAGCATGGGAATAACCATGAACCAGAGTCCGTTTGAGGCATGACGGGGGCAGTGAAAAGGTGAGAAGAGGCCAGGGGTGTGGACAGCAGATGGCCATTAAAAAGTGATGCTGTAACATTGCTTCACTGCTTCACACATTAGAGCCCAGGTCTAATGTGTGACTTGAGTGTCTTTGTTGACTTGACAGGTCATCGTTGACTTGAGTGTCTTCCTGATGGTACTGCCTCAGCCATTCTGTGTATCACTCAGAACATTACTCTAAGGCTTGTATATCTTGTATGTTTTTTTCCTCTAGCTGGTTGTATAGGATTCTACCTTCGGTTTCTCACAAGCCCTTTGAATCCATTGATGAAGGCCATATCACTCACAACTGGGATGAAGTTGATCCTGATCCTAACCAGGTAACCTGGTCCTGTGAATTGAAGCATATCATATACCCAAAGCCTTGAATAGAAATACCTAAATAGAGCCGGGCGCGGTGGCTCAAGCCTGTAATCCCAGCACTTTGGGAGGTCGAGGCGGGTGGATCACGAGGTCGAGAGTTCGAGACCATCCTGGTCGACATGGTGAAACCCCGTCTCTACTAAAAATACAAAAAATTAGCTGGGCATGGTGGCTCGTGCCTGTAATCCCAGCTACTCAGGAGGCTGAGGCAGGAGAATTGCCTGAACCCAGGAGGCGGAGGTTGCGGTGAGCCGAGATCGCGCCATTGCACTCCAGCCTGGGTAACAAGAGCGAAACTCCGTCTCAAAAAAAAAAAAAAAAGAAAGAAAGAAAGAAATACCTAAATAGAATACCATGGTCTTTGAAAAACTTAGATAGCTTTTTTTTTTGTATTATTTTAATAAATGCTAAAGTGTGTCTATTTTCTGCTCAAACTTGGGTGCTATATTAGTCCATTCTCATACTGCTATAAAGAAATACCTAAGACTGGGTAATTTATAAAGGAAATATTTTTAATTGACTCACAGTTCTGCATGGCTGGGAGGCCTCAAGAAACTTACAATTATGGCAGAAGAGGAAGCAAACACATCCTTCTTCACATGACAGCAGGAGAAAGAAGTGTTAAGCAAAAATGGAAAAATCCCCTTATAAAACTGTCATATCCTGTGAGAACTCACTATCATGAGAACAGCATAAGGGGAACCATCCCCATGATTCAATTACCTCCTACCAGGGAGGTCCCTCCAACAACACATAAGGATTATGGGAACTATAATTCAAGATGAGATTTGGGTAGGGACACAGCCAAACTGTATCAGGTGGGAATTTTGGAACTGATTGATTGATTATGTATATGCATATTGTTAAAAGAAAAACCTTAGACAAATCTAATTTAACAGAGTTTAATTAGGCAAAGGACAATTCATGAATTGTTTTATGTGAGCCAGGATAGGTTCTGAGAGACTCCAGCACAGACACTAATAGAAGACAATTTATGGACAGAAGAAGGAAAGTGATGTGTGGAAAACAGAAATGAGGTACAGAAATAGCCACATTGGTTGCAGCTCTGCATTTTACTTACTTGAACTGAGTTTTAACTGTTGGTCACAATGATTGGCACAAGAGTAGGTTACACATCCAATTTGGTTATGGTTCATTATGTATGGAGAAACCTTTAGGCAGAACTTAAAATATGTAAGGAGGCAGCTTTAGGATAAACTTGATTAACTCTGTGTGTGTGTGTGTGTTTGTGTGTGTGTGTGTGCGTGCGTGTGCACGTGCTTCAGTTTGTATCTTTCTTTTTTTTTTTTTTTTTTTGGAGATGGAGTTTCGCTCTTGTTACCCAGGCTGGAGTGCAATGGCGCGATCTCGGCTCACCGCATCCTCCGCCTCCTGGGTTCAAGCAATTCTCCTGCCTCAGCCTCCTGAGTAGCTGGGATTACAGGCACACACCACCATGCCCAGCTAATTTTTTGTATTTTTAGTAGAGACGGGGTTTCACCTTGTTGACCAGGATGGTCTCGATCTCTCGACCTCGTGATCCACCCGCCTCGGCCTCCCAAAGTGCTGGGATTACAGGCTTGAGCCACCGCGCCCGGCCCAGTTTGTATCTTTCTAGCCTAATGGGCACAGGAGTAGTTCGGACTTAGTAGAACTGCTCAGGTGAGTTGGATGAGTAGAAATTATATATGTTGGTCAAAATGTCTACATGCTCTTAAGTTTTTTTCTGTTAATCTAAACTTACCATGAAATATAGAAAACATATTCAGTACTGACATCTTTAAAGAGAGGCCTTTGAAATCTGACATGGGGTGAGAGTCTTGCTGTCTGAGCTGAATGATGTAAGTCTATTGTGGTCAGAGATCACTCTCACATTCTCTTTAGACCTAGGGCTTTCATTCTTTTTCTAGGAGTTTCCTCCTTTTAGTCTAGTAATAGTGGGCTTTTTCTCTGATTATCAGTGTTATACACTCTGCTTGCAGAGTATATAAGATAGAATGAGACAGAACCAGTACTATAGCAATGAGAGAGACCCAATGCTATAATGGACTGAGCTCTCAGTTTTTTAACCTTCTGAGAACCCCAGTGTATTGCCTTTGTCCCTGAGTTTTGATAACAGGTATATAGAGCAGGAAGAAAAACAGACCTAGGTTTGCATCCCTGCCGCTCTGCTTACTAGCTGTGTCTTAAGCTATGATGTTTCAAATGTAAAATGGGATGATAACATCTGCCTTGTGGTGCTATTGTGAAGATTGTAAGAGAATAGGTGTGAACCTGCTTTGTACAATGCCTGGGATATGATAGGCAAGAACTATGATTCTGATACAGCTGTTTATATTTACCTGAATTTACATTATTCAGGTAAATTTATTTCTTCATTTTATAGTATTTTTTGTTCTGAAGTCTTCTTCTGCCCTCTTTCTCTCCCTCTTTCTCTCTCTGTCTCCTTCCCCCTCCCTTTCTCCCCACTCCCACTTTCCACAGCCCAAGGAAATCTCCTGTTTCCCCTTTGTTTACCAAGACTTTTTGTCTATACCTGCAAATCTCCCTCCCCTAAGTGCTTAGACTTTTTATAAAAACAAAAGTCAAAATAATTTAGAGACACCTTTGGTTTCCTGTGCAGTTCTCTCTCTTGTCTTATTATGGAAATCTCAAAGAAATAAGCATCTGCTTGAATGCTACCACCCCTTTCTACCAGGGACAGGAAGGGAAGGAGCCTTTCAGGGTAGAAAAATGTGAATTAGTATTTCAAATGTTATCTACCTCATAGCCATTTTGAAACTAAGATATTTTGTCTAAATAATTGGCTCTTAAACTTGTATGAAGTTTAATGCATAAAGTAGACATACTCCCTGGTCCCCAGCTGGCCTATATATTGCCTTTAAGCAAATTTCAAAATGCAGCCCCTATTCTAACCCCCAACCCCTCAGACTCAGTCTGCCACACACAGGGACACATGCTAGGCATTCAGCTCCTGTCCTTTTCCCCTTCAGTCGGACAAGGCCCTTGTGCAGGGCACAGCTTGCACAACCAACCTGGGGACCCTGACTTTACCTCATTTTTGAGTCTCTTGTGGGTTCAGGTAATATGGGTATAGTAATTATGTATATGAAGTTAACTAAATGAGGAATTATAAGAAAAGTTTATAGGCAGATTTGGGGAATTTTATTACTCTCATCCTTGATACCATCTCAGGAAGACTGGGGATTGCTCCCCCTAAAGCCTTCATTTTCTTTAGTGTATATTTAATTTGGTATCCAAGAATTAATGCAGCCTCTTTTTGAGTGTATTTAAATTCAGCCTGAGGACATAAATTCAGTTCATTAATATCTCACGAAAGACATATACCTAATTTTATATATCTGTCTCTAATTTCTGAAGTCTCAGAATTTAATGAACTAATCTACATCCAATTTAACCATGATTTTACAGATTTCAGCTAGAATTCCTGAATTAGCATTTCTCTTTAATGGGTCTTTAAAATTTATATTTTATTATTATTGCATCTCTAACCTCTTGATTATTTGAAAATCAGTTTCTTGATTCAGTTAAGACCCAGCTGAGAGAATTATCTCTTGGTTCTTAACCAGTATAATTTGGACCAAATAAGAAATACCTCAAAGCTAATTAAAGATTGTATCATAAAATGCCTTCTGTCTCCATGCAAATTATAAAAAAATCTTTCAAAACAATACACCCTTACAGGATATTTCCTGGCTAATTTGTCAAACTTTCCAGGTGTTGCTATCCTGATATCCCCTTCCCTCTACAAATGTCTTGGATTTTCCTACCTCTCTTGCCCAGGTCTCTCCTATTCACAGCCAGACTTCTTGAGAAAATAATCTAAAGCCACTTTATCACCCCATTCACTCTTTAACCCTATTCAATTCAGCCTGCCCAGACAACTCTATCGAAAACATGTATACCCTCTTTACACAATAGTGCATCACTCTCTAATTAATACATATTTTTATTTAAAACTTACATGAAAGTGTCAGTTCCCAGTAATTCCACTAACACAGAGTTAACAACTTCTAATGTTTTTGGTTCTTTCAAGTCTTTTCTTTTTGTACATATATGTAAATAAATAATTCCTAGGGTCCCATCTAGCCAGTAACCAAAAGTAATTTAAGATAATATCTGGCCAGGCACAGTGGCTCATGCCTGTAATCCTAGCTATTTGAGAGGCCAATATGAGAGGTTCACTTGAGTCCAGGAGTTTGAGACCATCCTTGGCAACATAGCAAGACTCCAGCGCTACAAAAAAGTGAAAAACTTAGCCAAGTATGGTTGCAAGCACCTGTAGTCCCAGGCACTCAGTAGGCTGAGGTGGGAGGACTGCTTGAGCCCGGGAGATCAGGGCTGCAGTGAGACCTGGTCATGCCACTGCACTCCAACCTGGGCAACAGTGCAAGACCCTATCTCAAAAAAAAAAAAAAAAAAAAAGAGAAAAGTAAAATAATGTTAATCTTTACTTGCTTTTCCTGAAAACGTTAAAGAGTATCGGATATATGATCCACAGCAATACTTTTTAAAATCGCCTTTCCCCAGTTTTTCCCAGACTCCAACCCTCTCACATCTGTCTTCTCTCACCTGACCTCTCACCTTCTCCAAGCTCTTCATACCTTGTCATCATTGATTGTTGGCTTCTCTCTTTCTCTGCCTACATTCTGCCTCTAGAAATGACACCTGAACTATAAATCTTCTACTCGCTTTGGCTGGGAGACACACACGTAACAGTGACCTCCATAGCAATACTGGAGTTCAAGGGACTCCAGTGAGAATAATCAAATCTGAATTTTCTGTAGAGATCAGGGAAGGGAAGAGGAAGAGGTAGTGAATATACTTATAATAATGCTTTTTTAAAAACAATCAGTTATATATATATTTACTTTGAATTGTTTTTATTTAAATATCATATTTTGTGCCTTTTTTCATGTCTTTTTAAACTTCTTGA